TGTAAATCAAAACTACCATGAGATACCCTCTCACACCAGTGAGAATGGCACATATTAAAAAAACTAGCAACAGCAAATGTTGGCGAGGATGTGGAGAAAAAGGAACTCTTCTACACTGTTGGTGGGAGTGCAAACTGGTCCATCCACTATGGAGAGCTGTATGGAGATTTCTGGACCTACTAAACATAGAGCTTCCATAGGATCCAGCAATTCCACTCCTAGGTATTTACCCAAAGGACACAGAAACATCAACTCCAAAGAGCACCTGCACCCCTATGTTTATAGCAGCACTGTTTACAATAGCTAAGCTTTGGAAACAACCCAAATGCCCAAAAATAGATGACTGGATCAAGAAGCTGTGGTACATATGCACAATGGAATATTACTCAGCAATCAAGAAAGATAAACACATGCAATTTGCAGCAACATGGATGGCGCTGAGAGGGATCATGCTCAGCAAAATAAGCCAGAAAGAAAAAGAAAAATACCTGATGATCTCACTCATAGCAGGAATCTAGAAAACTTAAATAAGGGACCAGGAAAATGAATAACTATAAGAAAGAGAAAATCAAAATCAACAAAAAACTATGAACCAGAGACACTCTATGGAGGGTGGGGGTTGGGGAGGGGAGGGATTGGGGTCAAAATAAGGGGGTTCCAATTGTATGGGGAATATAAAAATAAAATTTATTTTTAAAAAAAGATAACAATGATGGGGCATTTAAATAAACACTGGTAATGAGCAGATGAGGAGTAAAGACAATAGGGCGGTCAAGTGTCCTCCAAGAAAATGGCGTGGCTGCAGTGTCAGTCAGTGTTGTCCTCAGAGACACATTCAACATCGTATCTTTTGAGCCGAGTTTATTTTTGGTGACGTATTTACACAGTGAGGTTTGGAGAGCCACCCAAACTATCTCCATCTCTGCATCCTTTGCTGAGATTCAATTGAAATGAGACTGAAGTGGCCACCAAAGGTACATGGAGCCATGGGGGAGGGGGAGGAGAAGCCAAGAGGTGAAAAACCTGTTCATCCCTCCTCCCTCCTCTTTTTCCTCCTCTCCCCTCCCCTCTCCATTCCTCCAGAATATATTTGAGAGAGAAAAACACCAAGACCAAGTAGTATATTCTAGAAAGCACTTCAGAATTTTATTTATAAAACTGACCAGAAGAGAAAAACAACCTGTTCCCTATAGACACTACCCTTGGAACAGCAGAAGAAGGGGGCTTGTTACACTAGCTAACACTGAGTGCACCTACTGTGTGCCCGCATTGGTTAGAAAGCCCCGACACTTGGAGTAGGAGGGAGGTGACACTTATTACCACATTTTACTCATGAGAGGAGGTCTTGAGGTTGGAGGCGGTAAAGCAGGACAGTGGCCCAGCAGGCAGACTGGAGCACTCCCATGAAAACCATCCCTGCCTCCCCCAGGTCCCGCGTCAATGGCAGACATCGTGTGTATGCCAAGCGAAGGTCTGGATGCCAGATCAAATAAATAAATAAATAAATAAATACCTAGGATTACATCAAACTAAAAAGCTTCTGTACAGCAAAAGAGATAGTTGCTGAGATACAGTTGCTGGGTGGAAGTGGAAAGGGTTATACTGAGCAAAATAAGCTAGAAGGAAAAAAAATCAATACCGAAATATCAGATTGTTTTTCTTATATATGGAATATAGAGAAACCAAACAAACAGTCAGACAAGAAAAAACTCAAAAGATATAGGAGCGGAGGTGGTTGTGGAAATAACAGAGAGAACACAATGGGTTATGTGAAGTTCTGTGAGTGCTTTAGTGGTAAAACAACTATGGTGTTCACACCTAAGGAGAGAAATCCTATGTTGTCAAAAATTAACAAGGATGTAAGCAAAATGTAAAAGAGGAACTTAATTAAATAATTTAAAATAGTGATATTAACAAATTTCCACAACAATATTATCTAAAAATTTTCCTAAATTTTCCCTAAGTAATTTTTACAATCTTTTCATAGGTCATTAGTCTTTATATTCTTTGGTTAAATATGTTTTTAAAATATGTCCAATTTTTATAATTTTCATGTTAATTTTATTCTTACTATAGAATTATAAGGTATCTTATGTAATTTGAAAACAATTTCCTTAAGATATGCGATTATAAATATCTTCCATGGATTACTTTATTATTTCACTTTCTTAACTCTGTTGTTTGCTAGTTTTTAATATTGGTTTACAACAAAATATATGAATTAAGGGAATAGATTCACAATGTCTCAGATGTCAGCATAGCTCACCCTCCACCAAAGTACCCATGGTTTTTTACCAGAGATTCTTAGGTTCCTCTTTCCACTTTGTCTCCTTTTTTTCCCCCTTCTGTGAGCCTCAATTTTGAAGTCATATTTCTAGAGTTTTGTAAGTTCTTTTGTTTTGTCTCTCTATATTCAACATCTGAGTTGATACCATTTCCAGTATTTCTCCTTCTGATTTATTTCATGTAGCATAATCTCCTCCAGTTCCACTCATCTTTTGATAAGGGATGAAAACTCATCTTTTTTATAGCAGACTAATAGTCCAGTGTCTACTTCTACATATACCACATCTTTCCCACTCATCTGTATTTGACACTTAGATTATTTCCATTATTTGTCTCCTGTAAATAGTGCTGCAGTTAATACAGGAATTCATTTATCTCTTCAAATTAGTGTGCTAGCACTCCTCACTTAGATACCTCAGTGATGACCTTAGATCACATAGTATACACTTTTTAATATTTTGGGTCTCCTTCAGACAATAAAACAATGTATTTTGTTTTCAGATGCAGTAAGAGTCTATCATTTGAGCAAGTTCTGTACTTGTAGAGTGATTATTGATACATGGATATTTGCTACTGACAAATATCTTTAGTTTTCTGGCTACTTATTTAAATTCTTTTTTTTTTTTTTGACAGGAGTGCCCCTTTCAGCATTTCTTATTTGAGCAAGTTCTGTACTTGTAATTATTGATATATGGATATTTGCTACCACCAGTTTGTCTTTAGCTTTCTGGCTACTTATTTAAACACTTTTTTTTTTTTTTTTTTTTTTTTTTTTTTTTGACAGGAGCGCTCCTTTCAACATTTCTTATTTGGCAAATCCCTCAGTTTGACTGTGTTGGAAGGCCTTTATTTTTCCCTGATAGCTGAGGCAATCATGCTATCTATTGTTTATTGGCTGGGAATCTTTGTATTTTTCGGTGTGTAAGCCTGGTACATCTTACATTCTTTTAAAATTATTCTATCTTATTGGTTTGTTGCTTTAACAATAAAGTCCTGACTTAATTTCACATTCAGAATGTTTATGATATAGACACTGTATCGATTTTTATACACTGATCTTACAACCTGATCCATAGAGTCCTGAATTTCTTAAAAGTTTTTAACATGCAAGACACTGTTGTCTCTCTTCGATCTGACTACCTTTTTTTCTTTTTCTCATTTTCATCCATTTTAATAGTCAACACCATATATTTTTATCTTGTTCCTGATTTTGGAAGGAAATCTCAGAGTTCACCAGTAAGTATAATTTAACTGTAGGCCTGCAGGTTTGTAAGAGCTTTTCATTAGCTTGAGGCAGTTCTTTGTTAATTTTTTTCTAGTTCTATTGAGCTGATCATGTGGTTTCAGTCTTTACTTTTGTAGTTATAGTATATTTTATTAATTTTTAAATACAAATATTTTTGCATTCTTTGAATAAATCCTATCTAGTATTTTGCATAAACCTTTTTACATACTGATGGATCCATTTTGCTTGTATTTTTTTTAGCTTCACATCCATATTGACAAGAATTATTAATAAAAGATTTCTTTTTTAATGTTATCAATACAACTATATCTCTGATTATGGGTGGCCAAGCTATGATTCATAACAAAATATAGCACAAATAGCAAGGTGAAAAGAAAGATCAGTCTATGACTTACGGTATATAAGAACATAAAACGTACACCCTAAACTCCGTGATGCTACTTTTTATAGCAAGGAGAAAGTGCACAAGATCTAGTTCCTTGTAATGTGTCTGTCTCCCTTGGCCAGTGGATGCATTCCCCAGTGTGGGGGCACATAGCTTACTATATGCTGCAATGGGAGGACACTGTCCATCATCAGTGACAGTTGTACTCTGCAACCGACAGTGTTAAATATAGAAAAGTGGACAAATCTACAGGTTATTGATTCATATGCTAAAGTAGAAAAGAATATAAAATGTGTCTGTAGCTGGAAATGAAATGTGATGTAACCCTGTTAAGCTTCCGAACCCCTTCGAGGTTACCAGCTGTCTGATATAAGTGCAGCATAAAAACTGAATTCCTATCTGTACTTTATTGTCATTTGGTGATGACAGTTGCCCGAAGCTCGGTCTTTCAGGATTTGTGTGCTGTACAAAGTTTCAGAATGAATAAAAATCCAGGTATGCAACTAAAAGTATTACAGCAAAGCTGCTGCACCACACTATATAGATCCCTTTTTAGAAATAATTGATTTAAAATTGCCGCACTTTCCGTCCAGACCACACATTCTATCCACTGTTATGTGTATACATATAGGTCCGTCCTTTCCTAGGCCAGCCGCCGTGTTTTGTTTGTCCAAATCCGCATCGCAAACCATTGTCCCCGCCTCTTTGCTGTTTAGCACGCCTTGAAACCAGTTCTTTCTTTAAACCGCAACAAAATGTAAGGGGGTTAAGGATCCGTAATGTTGCAGGTGGTGGAAAGGCTTAGAAGATCGAGAAAGCTCCAGTAGTCTATCATTATTTACCCTCTGGTTTTCCCCTCCCCTGTTCCTTGATGCTGTCTCACATTCGCAGACAGAAGCTAGGCTTCAGCTTTTAGCAAGAACGCCTCTGTTCTGAAAGGCTCAGGGCATTCAGACAGAAATAGCTGAGCTTCGAGATGCAGAGCTAGAGTAGGACAGAGGGCCGACCGACATGATTTGAAGGGGGGCGGAGATTCTCAACGCGCTAGGTGGCGCTGGGGCTGGTGGGAGTCTGCGCGGTTGCGATTGTCTCTGACCCGGCCGTTTTTTTTTTTCCTCCCAAGGTCCGCCATATTGCGAGGACCGGCCTCGGTCTGAGCGCAATCTTCCCTGCATCTCGCCCTTTAGGGGCTCTCCTCAGCCCAGCTAGATCCAGCAATTTCAACCAATTAATAAACTTTTACCAAGCGCAGTCCCGCTTCTGCGTCTCCCTCACGGGAGGTCCTTATTTTAGCGATTGGTGGTGGTGGTGTAGCCTGCACTGAGTCTCGGTAAAGAGACTAGCCCCTGAACAACCAGTAAAAAAAAGGTGTAGCCGCTGCTACCTCAGGGGGAGTAGTAACAGGAGCTGAGGCAGGAGAACACGGCATCTGGAGCCTAATTGAAATCAACGGGACCGAGGGAAAAAAGGTAAGGCCGGCCGTTGTGCTGTCGAGCCTGCGGTCGCAGTTTTTTGTTTGTTATTTTAACAAGATTTAGGTAGGACTTTTGTCACCGCCTGCTGCGTATTCTGTTTTGGGGATACAGGTGCCTGTGTTTCTCCCAGATGGCGGACCGCTACTCTGAAAGTGGCTTACGTTTACTCCTCACCCGCGGGACTGGCCAAGGTTTCTACAACCATGTTTTCTAACCGCAAGGGAAAATGGCTGACGGCTCTATCTTTAGTACTGCTCTTCTGCGTTCTCCACAATCTATCGGATCGCTAACCGTTCCAGGTTACACACGGCGCGGCCGCCTTAAACTGACCTTCGCGGTATTTCGTCGTTTAAATTCACACCAAACGCCTTTGCTGACGTGGTGTAATTTGCCCTAAAACTAGGCCGCGGCCTCCTCTGGCTACCAGATCTGGTATCTTAACCTCCCGCGATAGCGTAAGAGCTTGAGCCATCCATTGTTCAACAATGTTTTTCTTTCCATTACTTTACGTCCCCAACTTGTTCAAGATTAACAGGCACTTAAAGATATTTTAGTGGAAAAATAGGTTTCCAACAAGTTTTTACCGAAAAAAATTTTGTCTCTACAGAAATACCAGCCTCTTTGAATTTGATAAGACCACAAGAGTGAAGTGAACCATTAGACTTCACATGAATTAAACAGCGAACGTTCACTTTAGATTTTATGACATTTCATTATAACGTAGTTGAATTTTACACTGTGCCGTTTCACATACAGGGATTTGGATAATTTTCACGTAGTTCTTTGAACTTAATTTGGCTACTTGTAAATGTAGGTTAAATGTGAGTATTGCATGGGCCCTGTCCTTACCGCGGGATCCTGTTATGATGTCCCCCTAACGCTCTTCTGTGGCTTTTAAGTAACACTGGGATAGCCTTATTACCAAAGCTTTTGTGATTTCTACGAAATTATATCCTTAACTTATAAACTGGGTTGGCTAGATAAGTAATTTTCTTCTACTTAAAAAAGACGGTAAACTCCTACATTTTACTTAAACTCAGAATTTAGTGAACTGTCATTTTGGCTTCCTCCTCAGCTTTGGAGGGCAACTTAACGACTTGTTTACAAAGGACTCATTGTTTGTTTTCGCAATTACAAAACTCATTCATGGTGGTTTTAAACATTGGAGCTTTAAGTTTTATTGTTCCACTGTTTCAGGACAATCAAAGCCAGAATACAGTTAGGTTTCTAGCGGTGCCTTAGAAGTTTCACTTAATTTAAAGATGAGATTGTTAGATTATAACTAATCCTTCTTTCTGTATATATTTTTTATGTGAATGTTTAATCTTCATTTAAATGTTTTAGTGCTCCTCTTTCCTTTAGTTGGTTGACATAATAAATCTGATGTTTCTTCTAGAATTCAATGGTATTTCTGGTAGGGGCTAAACAACAGCAAAATTGAATCTAAATCATTACGAGGTAATTTTAGATTTACCTTAAATCATAATGTTGGATGAAAATGATTTTGTAGGCTTTTCTGTTGATTTTTCCTTCTATGTTGTTTGAATATATTTTCCATATTGATACAAATGGTCAAATAAAATTTACTGTGGGTCTTTTTTCTTCTAAACTCATTCATTTTAATATAATTTGATGGTCTGTGAAATATTTAAAATGTAGAGTTTGAAGTTGGATGTTTGTCATAAAATCAACAGTTAGCCTTTTTTTAAGACTTATTTATTTGTGCATACAAGAGCTGGGGTACATGTGGCCAGAGATGGTGGGGGTGAGAGGATTCACCAGAGGCAGTGGGGAGCAGAACAGTTTTTGGACATTTACATCATTTCACTTCTTCCTCTGCAGTCCAGTCCAAGAGTCCCTTCTTCTTTAGCCCTAGGCAATTTCTGAGTATTTTGTGTCTTTTGCTTGGGTGTATCACGTAAATGGAATAACACAATGCGTAGTCTGACATTTCACTGTGGTTTTTTTTTTAGTTCATTCATATTATAATGGAATTCAAATAAGTAGGATCACAAATTTACAAGTCATGGTGTAAACAAATACTTTTTCTGTTGGGCAGATATCTAGGAGCAAAATTAATTACTAATGGGTGTTTGAACATTTTCTCTTACTAGCTTATTGGCTAATTGTCAGTCATCTTTGGAGACAAAGATACTTGGAAATTCCTGTTTCTAAATATATAATTATGATTTACCAGTTTTAAAAATCAGCTATTTTAAATACTGTTATTTTGTTTTTACTTGTTACTCAATATATCCATGGTATTTCCTTTTAATTTCTTTTTTTAATGTATTTATGCATTTAAGAACTGGGATGAGAGGAGTCACCAGAGACAGTGGGGAGCAGAACAGGCAAATCTACGGAAATACGCTGCTGAGGGGAGCAGCAGGCAAGACATTGTGGGTTAGCTCCCTAACTGGACATGGAACTTATGCTCTAATGGCTAGCTGTAGCTTGATAAAGCTTAGACTAACCCCTGTGCCATCAGGGAGATCCTTTTTTTACTTTTGTAATGACAGAAATATAAAAGCTTTATTTTTATGAAGCACTGTATTATTTTTCTACCTATTACTTGTTTTTGTCATGTTTTATTTAAGAAATTTTTGCCTCTCTGAAGATCACAAATATTTACTCATTTTCTCTATAAGTCTTTTATATTTTAAGTACTTAAATTATCTTTGCATTTGGAGTTAAAATATGTGTGTTGTGTGAGTAAAAAATCCAAATTCATTTGCAGGTATATCTCCAATTGTTTCTGAAGAGTTTGTTTGAAATACTATACTTTCTCCCTTGAGTAGTCTTTGTTCAAAATCATTGGACCTCTTAAAAGAGCTTAAAAATAAGAATTTACTTTTGGACCTTAATTCCGTATTCTTGAACTGTAAGTCTGTTTTTATGCTAGCAAGGGGCAAATTAGTTTTTTTTTTAATCTTAATGAGAGTAACACTTAGAATTTTTAAAATTAAAGTAAATAGAAATAACAAAGTTTACTATATGGGCTCTTTTTAAGGGAATATAGTTCAGTGGTATCAAGTACAATCACATTGTGGAGCAATCCATCATGACAGTAGCACTTGTATTAACTTTCAATGCATTTTCACTCTTGAGTTTTATTTCCTAAATTGTGTGTTTCTGTCTTAATCCTTGATGTAACTTTTTTTTTTTTTGCTTCCATTCCTTTAGGAGCTATATCAACAGCCACCTGTTTACATACATAGAATTTTGTATAATACTTAGAAAAAGATTAACGCAGAGTTTTCCCCTCAATTTTGATAACATGTTAGGATCACTTGGGGAACTTTTAAAATAGTGACACTGTTATGTTTTGACACTATGAAAATAAAGTAGGTACCACAGTGGAGAGAAAGGTGATGGGAGAAATGGATGTCAGTTTGATTCTGTGAATGGCATGGGAATTTTGATGGTGGGTGTGGTGAGGGATATGCATTTCTCCTGGTGTGAAAACCAAATAGTATTGTATAACAATGGTAAATCATTAAAACTTTATTTAAAAATGAATTGTAATGCCAATATAAATGTTTGATATTTGTTTGTCACACCTCCCATCCCAACTTGTGTAATCTGAAATATAAACAGAGTGGCCTTTAAAAATGCTCTGTGTAAGATTTTCTAGGTTTTTTGTTCCTAAGCATACATTTGTAAATCTTTCAGATGAATGAAAATATAATTTTTTAAACTCACAGGTGTTTTATTATTTTCCCAACGTGTTAATTATACAAGCACAGTATTAAGTATTTTGTTTGCATTTTTTGTGTAGACACTCTCATGTTCATCATTGAAACTATGACTTCTGACAGGCTCAACTAGTGATGATCCCAGTTTTACCAATTCTTGCCATAATATACAATAAGAAATCACTAGTTTATGTGCTTTTTCATTTTTCAACATTGAAATTTGCTTGATCAGAGTAGGCTTAATTTTGATTTAAATTTTTCATAATTTTTTTTCTTTTTTCCCCTTCTTCCCCCATAATTTTATTTTAAAGATTATTTAAAATATTCTATTTAAGAAGTGGTTTAGTCATATATTTAAACTGCATTGAATAAAATTGTTTGATTTGCTTCCCAATGTATATAAAACATTTAAATAACAGCTTTATTAACATACTATTCCTAAAAGATGCAAAATGGAGACCTTTGTTATCTATCATTTGAGTCATCCTGATGCGAAATTGTGTTATCTCTATTTAAGAATTTGAAGTTTCATGTAATGTTTAAAATTGCATTGTTTCCAGCCTTACCCCAAAAAATTTGTTGACCCACAAAAACATTTAAAATAAAGTTCATTTTTATGGATGTGTTACTGTGGTTGTAGAATTACTGTAATAGAAATAATAGGCGTTTACTTTTTTTTTTCCCTTAGACCAGTGTGCTCAATTCTCTATTCAGAGAAGAGAGAAGAAAGGCCCTTACTAGTATTGAATCTGCTGGCAGTTCTTAATGTGGCACAGGACTCTTCATAGATCAATTTGGTAAATAATATAGAAAATTGAGAGTAATGTACTAATTACTAAGGTTTATTTATAATTTACCATTATATGGGGAAGAAAAAGGCTATTGACTCTTATAACACTTTATATATGTATTGGGTTTGAATTTGTACCACAAACTTCCTGTTTTTACCATTAATTATAAAGTTGTTATGTTGGTATTTTAAGAATTAAGATGTAAAAAAGTATTTCGCTGAGGAAACATATCTAAACTTATTTATATATACATATATATATATATATATATATATATATATATATAATCCTGTGCTTTATTAAACATATAAAAAGCAAGTCTTTGGTGATACAGATCAGATGAAGAAATGTATTAACACCCAGGACTATAACTTTAAGGCATGTGTGCTTCAAATTAAACAATTAACTTTTGGAGTAGTTCTTGTTTATCAGAATTCTAGATCATGATCTCAAAATTGGGGTTTGTCATCGTCTTTTAGAATTCATATTTGCCCTCTCAAGGCAAAAGACACAAGGCAAATACTAATAACAGAGATCTCTTGATTTTCTATTAAAATTGTGGCCATGTGTACTAATTTTATGAACTAGTTATTTTATCAGTATTTGTGAAGACACTGACAACTTTAATTCAGTTTCTAAGTAATTTTTACTAACTCATTCAGATAAGAAAACATCCCTTAAGTTTGTATTTCTAAGAATTGATCCCTTCGCTTTAAAGTTGCATTAATATACTGAGGCCATATTTTCATTAATCTCCCAAGTGATTTTGGGTGGATGGGCAGTTTCACCATAGCCATTATCTATCTTTTAAAACAAAGATAGCCTAATTCTTCATAAATAACAAGTTTTAGCCTGCAGGTTAAGATTGGTACACCCTTTTGATTAAATTTCCTCCAGTGTGCTTTTAGATCAAGGAGGTTTTTAATATGACAGGTCAGATCCTTCTATGATAAAGTATCCCATTTTAACCATTACCAAAACCTGTTAATGTCCTAGGCTAGGGCCATTTTGAAAGGCAAGTGGAGAAGAGTCACATGGTTTCTGCTGCATCTTACTGTGTTTTTAAGACATTTTATTCGTAGACCATGAGATGAAGAGGTAGATCTTATTTTGCACTTTTTCCTTTCCCTCGACACTTATTAGCAATCTGAGATTTAGAATTTATCATACAGAGAGCAGCATTTTCTCTCTGTAGTTTTCTTTTTTAAAAAGATTTGTTTATGCATACACCAACTGGGGTGTAAACCAGAGGTGCGGGGTGTGAGAGGATTGACCAGAGAAAGTGGGGAGCATTAAACAGCTAGGGTAGCAGCAAGCCAGACAAGAGAGGTCTTGGGGGCGGAGGGGTTTAAACTCGCCTTGCAGTGGTATAGTTTTCATTAACCTTACTAATTCTTTTTAAAAAAAAAAGATTTCATTTATTTATACAAGTACTGGGTACAGTCAGAAGCGTGGGAGGGTGAGAGAATTCACCAGAGCCAGAGCGGGGAGCAGAACAGACAAACTGATGAAATACACTGCTGAGGGGAACAGCAGCCATGGTAGGAGAGGTCTACGCGCCATGTGGGACCCTCGCCAGTGACCAGGGATTGAACTGGCACTGCAGAGGCTGCGGGCAGCTTCACAGCCTGGCCCTCAACTGCAGCGCCACCGGGGAGGCCCAGCCTTACTAATTCTAACAAAAAACAAGCTTTTTCAGCCCAATAAGCAATTTAAACGTTTTTCTTAAATAGTTCCTGAAAGTGGCCTTATTAATAATAGGGTGCTAATATTTTCTGTTTATGAAGCAGAGCAGGACAGTAACTCAAGGTGAGCAAAAGGAGTGTCCAGTCTCCCCCACAGCTGGAAGGTTGGCAAAGGCATGCTAATGATCTTGGCACTGGGGCAAAGCTCCAGCCAGCTGCAACATTTCCTCTTTTCCCTCAGTTGTGGCCTTTGAGGTCTAGGTGCCATTTATAGCCTGTCTTTCTTGGTCCTCTGCCTTGGGGCCAGGCAGTATTCCAAGACTAGGTGCTTTTTTGTTTGTTTGTTTAATTCAAGGAGTAGAGTTTGCTCCAGTTTTCAGCCCAGCCTTAAGTCCTTCAGAGCTTTGATTGAATGTCCCATGATATCTGCTACATCAGAAGCCTTCAGTGGCAGAAGCACAGAATAAACAATTCTGCTGTCCTGGGACTTAACCTTCCAGGAACTAGGGTTACACCTTCACAGAACTGTAATAGCTGTCTGAGTAGGACCACTAACTGTGGCCTCTCGACCTGTTAAGTTCAGGTGCAGGCCCAGGTGACTTCTGTTGAAAAGAGATTGAAGTATTGGGGCTCAGTGGGGAGCAGGCATTCTTGAACTCTGGCCAGAGGTAAAAATACAGAGAAGAGGGAAGAGAAAATACCCCACATTCCACCTGGGGTAGACTGCCCAGGGACCCTTGTCCAAGACAGACATCTACAGTTGTGGTTCACAAACCAACAGCTATCAGGGGTTTCAAAGAAAGAAAACGCTTCAAAGCTGAACATAAGATGATGTGAAAGACTCATGTTAAAATAGAAAGCCAACGTAGTTGAATTTTTTTTTTTTAATTAATAAATTTTATTTTTATATTCCCCATACAATTGCAATCCCCCCATTCTGATCCCAATCCCTCCCCTCCCGCCCCCCACCCCCCAAAAAGTGTCTCTGGTTCATAGTTTTTGTTGATTTTGATTTTCACTTTCTTATAGTTATTCATTTTCCTGGTCCCTTATTTAAGTTTTCTAGATTCCTGCTATGAGTGAGACCATCCGGTATTTTTCTTTTTCTTTTTGGCTTATTTCACTGAGCATGATCCCTTCCAGCGTCATCCATGTTGCTGCAAATTGCATGTGTTTATCTTTTTTGAATGCTGAGTAATATTCCATGGTATATATGTACCACATCTTCTTGATCCAGTCATCTATTTTTGGGCATTTGGGCTGTTTCCAAAGCTTAGCTATTGTAAACAGTGCTGCTATAAACATAGGGGTGCAGGTGTTCTTTGGAATTGATGTTTCTGTGTTCTTTGGGTAAATACCTAGGAGTGGAATTGCTGGATCCTGTGGAAGCTCTATGTTTAGTAGGTCAAGAAATCTCCACACAGCTCTCCATAGTGGTTAAATATAGTAATATTTTATTAGTCAATTGTCAAGAGTTGTAGGATACTCCATGTAAGTGGATTTTTTCAGAAAACCAGTTTTTACTTTTAGGTTATGGTTAATATCATCTGAGAGAACTTTGTTTTATGTCCCTTCAGGTGTGTGGGAGGATACAAATATCCTTATTGAGCCCTTGTGCATGTGTAAAGTTGTACACATTGATGTATATCACAATGATGCCAGGAAGCGTTTGGAGATCATATAAGAGAAGTAAATTAAAATACTCCTTTATTGACATTGTACATCCCCTGAGCTGACCATGTTAAAATAGTCTAATTATTATTAGGCTATACTTTTCTTTATGTTCATTTTTTTAAATAAGTGAAAACATTGTTAATGTTTTCTTTTTTCCCTTTTTCTGTGTCATTTGTAATATTTTTCATAAGTGGAGTTTTTGAGACTTTGTAAGTAAATATATCCTTACAAGAAAGACCTTGTAGTGTGTTAGTATAACCATCCCATAAGCATGTTATGACTTAATCTTTCCCATATGGTGTCCTTTCAGATCGTCAACAGTTTTTTGTTATAAATGTGCAGTGATGAACATATTTATGCCCGTGAATATATATGTGAATTGGATGTTAAATCAAAGTTTTTGTTGTAGTATATTTCAATTTAATGTAAGGTTTTCTCATGTTAATTTTGTAATTTAACTTCCTGACATTACTTCCTGTTTTAAAATCATGTGTGCAACCCAAAAACAGTCTTCCTATTTTCCATTTAATTTGGATTTAATTTTATTTAATTTAATTTCCATTTAATTTTCTGGATTCTCTGTGCACATCCTAGGCTTATACCTTTACAAAATTGTTGTTTTCTTTTGGGGAGATTTTCCTTTTCTTGGTTATTGCCAGCTTGTTTGGTTTTTTTTTTTGTTGTTTTTTTTTTTTTAAGGTTTATTTTATTTATGCATGCAAGAACTGGGGTACAGGCGAGAGATGTGGGGCGTGAGAGGATTCACCAGAGACAGAGCAGGGAACAGAACTGGCAGAGTGACTGAAATACACTGCTGAGGGGAGCAGCAGGTGAGCCAGGAGAGGTCTCCTGCGCCATTAGGTTTACTACTCCCTGGCTGGGAAGCAAACTCATGCTGCAGAAGACTGCAGACAGCTTCGTAGATTGCGACTTAACTCCTTGAGCCACCAGGGAGGCCCAATGCCAGTTAGTTTTTATGTTTAGTCACTATTAAGGCTTATAGGATGGTCTCAGTTCTTTTTTAAATCATCATTTGAACATTTAAAGTAATTTCATTGTTTACAATAGTATCTCAACTTAGAGTCATTTTTGCCTTCTCATTTCTGGAGATACTTTTTGGTTGTCTTGATTTAGGGAAAATTGGCATGCACTGATTGGCATCAAATGTTTAGAGATGAAACTGCTAAATATCTTACAATGAAAAGAACCAATCAAAACCCCCTCCTTTACCCACCCAACCCATCAGCAAAAAGCTAGCCAAAGTTATTTTGTCTAAAATATAGCACATACTAAAGCCTGAAGTGTTATTTCATTCTTTGAAGTCATACTTCGCTTACTATACGTGTGTCCCATAGTTTGAGGATTGTAAAGTTGATCACTTGGTCCTGGGGAGAGTGCATGCCAGCTGTCCACAAATGAATACTTTACTTGCTCTGAGGAGATACTGAATTACTCTCACTAGAGAGTTTATTTTAATAAACTAGAAGATTATTTTAAAATCTGCATTGTAAACTAAGTCAGAATTGTATTAGTTAAAAGAGAATCTTGGGAGACTTCTTGGGCTTCCTTTGAGCTACACATGTCTGTAAACAGATTCCTCACCTAATTTCTCTTCCTAGATAGTATTCAGAACTCTGACCATGCAAA